CTCCAGACAGAGGGCACAGGGTATGCAAAGGCCCAGAGAGAAGATGGCCCGGGGCTCCTTCCAGGGTGCCTGGGAGGCTAGAAGGAGCGGTGGAAGCCTGCCAGCACAGTGGGGATGGCTGGCCCTGCGTGTCACATTCCTTGCCCTGGGCAGGGCCCCTGGGGAAGGCAGGAGAGAGTCAGCCTCCACCCTGAAGTCCTGACCTTGGAGCCTGGCCAGCTTGAGGCTGCCACCACTTCGCCATGTTGGTTCAGGGGGGATCACCCAGTCAAGGAGTGTGCTTTGGGTCCAGGCACCCAGGAGGAGTGGAGGGTGAGGCTCAGAGTGGGAAGGACACAGGCAGCCAGTCAAGAAGAGCTGGGATTTGGACTGGGAGTCCGGCAGTCCCCAGAGCCCATGCCTTCAACCCCTGTGCTCCACAGCCCAGACCTCATCTACCAGGTGCCAGAACCCAGCAGCACAGAGCAGGGTGAGTGCCAGGCCCCACCTCCCACCTCGTAGGCCATCTGTCCCAATGGCCTGGATTCTCCGTAAGAACAGGAAGCCTCTGTGGGGTCTGAGGAGCCCTGGTCTCCTGGCCTAGGTTTTCATGCTGTCCCCCTTCTCTTCTCCCTCCTCCCTGCAGTACCAAGGCTTCCAGGTCCAGCTGGAATCAGTGCAGAAGCTGAGTAACCTGGAGGGGCAGCGGGTGGCCAGTCCCCACCTGCAGGCCCAGAGCCGCCTGCCCTCAGTGTGCCACCACCCAGCCCTGCCGCTGGACCTCCAGCCTGTCTGCACCTCCGAGGAAGCTGCCAGCATCTTCCAGGCGCTGTGTGAGTGCCCAACCCTGCAAAGTTCCTTGCCCCGCTGTCTTTCCTCCCCAGCCCCCAGATCCTCACAATGTTTCTATTAAGCACATTCAAGAAACTCAGCCCTGGCCTCCTCGGTTTGAGCACTGAAAGTCAGGCATGTCAGAAACCCTCTCAGCCCCCAGCAAGCCTGATGGCTAGTCATCCTACCTCCAAGACTGCACATATGGCAGGAAGGGGGCACTGGGAAAGGGACCCATAAGCAATGACTGCCAAGCACAGGGGTGAGGGGGGAAGCACAGTGGGGACACAGAAGAGAGATGGCTTGTGTCCCGAGCAGCATCAGGCATCTGAAAGGCTTCCAAGAGGAGAAGACATCTAAGCTGAAACATGAGGGATGAAGCAGAGCTGGCCAGGGGAATGTAACAATTAGCCAGCATTTATTGAGCACTGACCAAGTGCCAACGCTGGGTCAGTCCCCTGCCATACTCTCTCCTCACCACCACTGTCAGGCTGATACTATCTGTTCAGCAGCAGGAAAACTCAGGCACAAAGAGTTTAAGAACTTTGGCCAGGCACCCCTGGGAAAGAGAGGACCGGGGCTTGGGCCCAAGCCGCTCATCCTGCTTCTAAAGTTTCCAGCTCGTATTCTGTGCGCAGGATGCAGGGCCCCTCCTGCAGGCCCGCTCCTCAGTAGGCCTTCTCTGGTCACATGGCCAGCTGCTCCCTGGACCACAGACGTCTCAGGTTCAGGTTCCGCTGACCGGTGTTCTCCCCACCCAGGCGCCATCGCTAAAGACGACTGTGAGCTGTGTGTGAATGTTGCCTGTACAGGCTGCGACTGAGATAACTGGGCGCCCTGAGTCCACCCTGGGCACCGTGGCCCCCAGCCTGCGGCTGTCACAGCCCCCACCCCCATCCAAGCTCCAGAGGGCCCCCTGGCCAGCAAGGTCTTCACAACCCTTCCAAGGCTCAAACAGCTGGATCTGGTGCAAAGCAACTGGACACATGGTTGGAGAGCTTGGCCCACGAGGCAGTCCTGCTGCTGAATAAAGAGTCAACTGTGAATGCAGAGCCAGCTGTCCATTTGCTCATTCCCAGGAACTATGGGCAGAGCTCCTCGGGCAGCTGGGTGGGTGGAGGAGAAAGGATGGGCTTGCGATACAGTCGGAAATTTCCCTGGTTTCCAGTGCCTGAGGAATTGGTTCATGAAACCCTATTTCATATAGGAGTAAGGAGGGGTAGAAATGAGTCACCTAAGATCATACTGCTGAGAAGCCTCAGAGCAACCCAGACCTTTCTGACCCCCAAGCTTAACTCAAGGCCTTGCCCGGCTGCAGTGGTCCCGGGAGGATGGAGGGAGCTTCTCCAGGAGATGGGCTGCAGGAGTGGGTGGGTAGAGGAAAGAATCACAGGTGTCCCCTGCAAGGCCTGCAGTGAGGGCTGACTCTGCCGGAGCTGCCTGAGAAGCTGGCTGGACCTTCACCCTTACCTTCCTGAGCTCCTGCCCACCTCAGGCTGCACAAGACCACCTGGCCAGCTCTGGATAGGAGACTTTTCCTCCCTCTCTCCATTCTGGTGGCCCTGAGGAACACGAATTATAATGAAAGCCAACACTTACTGAGCATTTGCTAGCCCTGGGCACTACTCCGCACGCTTTGCATGTCCATGAATGTCACAGCAGTCTCTTGAAGCGGGGACAACTCTGTACACAGACTCCACCTCACAAACAAGGAGACCCAGGTACAGAGAGAGCTACCTAATCCAAAGTGGCTCAGCAAAGTGGCAAAGCAGGCTTCTCCCCAGGAAGTCTGGGCCAGAGCCCAAGCTCTGAGCCACTGTAGAACTGCCACCCCTGGCACTGGCCATGGCCAAGGCCACCTGATGGAGGGCCCCTTGCAGCCAGCCATGGCGTCTGCACCATAGGCCTTCAGTGCCTTAATGCAAGACAGGGGCCATGCTGGGAATTGCTGGGAGAAAGGCCTTTCTGCAGGGTGCGCTCCTCCACAGCCTGTGTCCGGGGCAGCCAGAGAGCAGGAAAGCCAGGCACGAAGGGGCCGTGACTTCTCAGCTCAGTTCGCTGAGGGCCAAGGCCACGGTGAACTCCCCCAGACCAGTGGCCCACCCTGACAGCCCAGTTCTGTCCATGAGCCCTGCAGCCTCCCACTCTACCAGGCCAGCCCAGAGCTCCAGCTCTCCCTTCTCCCTCACCCCACAGGCAAGGCTGGCTAGGGGTCTTTGCAATGCCTCCTGCATCTTTCGGGGCCCCTCTCATCTCTCCACCATTATTCAAGATGGGCCCTTATCACATTTCCCAGGACTAGGCAGACCTTCCTCCCTGGCCTTGCATCCTACAGGCTCCCCGTGCTCCCTACGCCAGGAGAACATCATGGTGCTTCTGTGATGGTGCCCCTTACCCTTCCATGGCTCCCCAGTGCCACCTCTTTAGTCTAAACTGAGCCCACGCACCATCTAGCCTCGTCCGGACTGCTCCCTTCAGCAACACTGGGTTCCTATCTGCCTGGGGAGGAAATGGGGAAGGGGACTGCCACTCACTGAGCACCTACTGTGTGTAAAGCACAGGCTGAGCTACCTACACAGAAATAATAATAGTAACATTGGCAAAGTGCTCACTATGGGCCCAGCAGAGCTCTGAGAGCTTTCCTTGTATCATCTAATCTTCACTCCACCCTATGAAGGAGGGATTCTTGTCATTCCCATTTTACAGATGAGGAAACTAAGGCGAGAACAGGCTATGTAACCTACCCAAAATCACACTGCCAGTAGAGGCACACCCAGAGAGTAGGGCTCCAGAGTGGGAGCATTAAATGATTCTGCCCCACCACACGTCTTGTCACATTCCCCTGCAACCCTGGGAAACAGGATCTGTTATCACCCCCATTTTCAAATGAAGAAACCAAGTCTCAGAGAGGCTGGTAAATGACATGGTCACTCTCAAACCTAGCCTTATATGTTTCAGGCTCCACCCTGTCAAGGCTGAACTATTGCAGTGCCACAGATCTTCCTGCTTCCACATCCACACCAGCCCCACCTTCTGGGATGCCCTCTGCCTCCCTACCTCCACATTGGTTTTGAAATTCCAGGCATCCCAATGCAAACGTCAAGGACTAGGGCAAATGTCTGCCTTCCCTTCCCCATCACAAAGCCTTCCCTGAGCTTGGCCCAGAAGGCAGCTCACCCTCCAAATTCCGCAGGCCAGGAAATCCTGCCCGAATCACTCCATGACATCTCCACGTCCCAAGAAAGACCCTGGTTACCTCCTCTTTCCTCATCCTCTCTAGCTTTACTAACAGGCCTCCCTCCATGCCTCCCATCCTGCCCTCATCTGAACCATTCTCAGCTTGACCCTGGTTCCCCTGCCTGGTTTTACTTGTACTGCCTATTGAACCCTCTCATGTTTGCATGTGGCCTGAACTTCCCATGCACTACACCAACATTTGCATGCATTACTTCACCTAGCCTGGGAGTCAGGGACTATTACCATCCCAGTTTTACAGAGGAGGAAACTGAGGCACGGAGAAGGAAAGCAACTTTCCCGAGACCACACAGCGTATGGAAGACCTTGGCTGGAACGCAGTAGTGCTTGCTTTCCCAGTCCTGTGCTACGCTCCCACACAGCTGTCCACATGGTGGGGCTCAGCCACTCTGGGGGTCACAGTGACTTCCCAGGCACGGCAGCTGTTATATCACAGGGTGCCCAGAGCTGCACAAGGGGCAAGCAAAGTGCCCAGGGAGCTTCAAAGACAGCATTGGGGCATGAAGACTCTCCCTGGGAGGTTGGGGAAAACCATCTGGGGAGGACAGGAGGTGCACAGGAAGGCTCAGGGGGGCAGATCCTGAGGCACCTTGAATACTCTAGGGCTTGGAGCCATTTCATAACCTGTCAAGTGTCTGTGTTGGACTGCAAACCAGCACAGCCCCCTGTGCTTGCAGATGGCTCAGTGACTTCGGTGATCCCCAGAGATGCAGACGAAAAGCAGAGGTTCCACCTCCCCCAGGGGTGGTCTGGAGATTCAGGTCCCCTCACGGCCTGTGTGTGGTGACAGCCACGGGGGTTTGGTAGCTTAGCAGGGCGAGCAGGGCCCTGGCGCTTGACACACTAGACCCCGAGCTTGCCAGGGCAGGGCAGGCATCTGTAAAGCTGGGTGGTGAGCAGAGTGATGAGCAGGGAAGGGACAAAGCAAACCCAGGGGCACTCTGGGATCTGGTTTATTAGCTGAGGCTTGGGGTGGACTTTGGGGAGCATCCAGCAGCTCGGGTGGGTCGGGGGCTGGGGCAGGGGGGCCCCCCCAGGCCGCTCTCTCCTCACTCCTCACTGGGCAGCAGGGAAGGCTGAGATGTGCGGAGCGCCGGCGTCCTGCGGGGGAGGGGCAGAAGGCCACACATCCCGGTGTCCTAGCATCCCGCACAGGCAGCGTACGCACAGATCTCACACGTGCTCGGGTCCTCGGCGATGGCCTCTGGACAGGAGAGATGGGGCCCGTGAGATCCAGTTTCCCTCCCCAGATCTCCTCCCCTACCTTGAGTCAGAGCTGGGACGGCCACCGCCCAGACCCCAGGAGGAGCCCAGGCCTGTCCTCTCTGATCTGCAGGGCTTTCCTCCCCAGGCCAGGATGCAGCTACCGCTCAAGCCAGCCAATCAGAGCAGATTCCACGCAGAACCGCGACACAGTGCACCCAAGGCAGAGGTCAAAGCGAGCATCCTTCTAAGTAAGCTCTTCAACGGCAACCTGAACTAATTACAGCGGCAATAAAGACCGACCTATCAGAGGGGAGCCTCCTTCGAATCCCACCAATCAGAGCCCACGTCTCCCTCGAGAGCCACCAGTCAGGGTGGCTGTGCCCATCGGAGAGGCGGCTACTCACCCAGCCTCTGGAGGATCTGGTGGGCATTGGGCTCCTTGCAGAGAGGCTTGAGTTCTTTGGGAAACTGTGAGTAGCTACAGGCAAGCGGCACCATGGGCCCACCGCCCTTCCTGTGCTTCCGAATGCTGGGCACCTGGTGCTCCCGGAGGTCCTTGAGCTTCTTCACTGACTCCAGAGAAAAGGAGAACTCGCCATCCTGAGAGACAGGTGCAGAGTGAGGCCAGGCTGCAGCCTGCTCCAGGACAGTGCCCTGGCTGCGTCCTGGACTGAGAAGTAAGGTCTGGAATTGAATCCAGCTGCTTCACTTCCCAGCCACGTGCCTGTGGCCAGTTAACAGAACCTGTCCGAGGCTCCGTTTTCTGCTTCTGAAAAACGGAACTAATCTTTCCCGGGTGCTCTTGGGGCCGCAGTGAGACATTAGAGGGGCCTGGCCCACAGCAAGCATGCAGTCAACTGGCTCATCCCCTGCCCTCCCAAATGCTCGTTTCTCTTCTCTCTACCTGTTTGGAAGCCAAGGTGTATGAGACAGGACCAAGAAGGGGATCCCCAAGGAAGAGCCAGGCCTTAGACACACCCCTAACTCCAGCCCCGAAATGGGGGTGTGCTATCAAGGGGCAGGCTCATGGCACTGAAGGCACAGAGAGATCTGGGCCAGGCCAGGGACAGAGAACTTACCTGCACGGTGACCCCCTCTGCCCCCAGGGCAGCCCAGGCGCCAAGGAGGCACAGTGCAGACAGCAGGAAGGTGTTCATGGCAGCAGTGCCGAAGAGACAGGAGTGGCTGGTTTGGATGCCAGGGAGAAACAGTGGGACTTTTAAAGACAGTACGGTTACTGAGTAACCCAGGAAGCTTGTCAACACCTCATCTGCTTGCCTGTCAACTCAGGCCTAATCAGATAAGGCTCAAGAGAGTCCTGGCAGATAAGAGATTAGTCCCAGGAGCCCTGCAGAGCCCTGGCCCCTCCCTGGGCTCCCACTTTAACTCACAGCTGGCCTGGGCCCTACATTCTTTCACCAACCATACACACTCACTGACAGCTGCTGTGGGCCCGGCCCTGTGCTGGGGTGGGGCTGCAGACCCATCCCGGCCATGAAGGAAGGAGGCCTGACAGCAGCCACGCAGGGTGATTCAGGGAGTGGGTGGGGGTGGGGGTGGGAAATGGAGAGGCCACCTCACCCAGCCCAGGGGCAGGGCAGCTCAGGAAGGTTTCCTAAAGGACGTCTGCCAGTGCCAAGTTTTGGGGTATGGGTGGAGATTTTCAGAGAAGAGGTGGAGGGTAAAAAGCCATTTCTTGCAGAGGATGCTACCTGCAGGACAGCCAGAGGTGAGATAGGCCTGGAATACTCAGGGACATGACTAATTCAGCCTCAGGGGAGGAGGGGGCTGCAAGGGGGCTTCAAACGGTAAGAGATGAGCTGCAGACCAAGGCAGATGCTCGGTTTGACCCCTCTGGTTTTGAGGAAGGCCTGAGCTCTGCTGTCCTACAGGCCTGAATTGAAGTTCTACCTACTGTCCCGTTTCAACATGTGTGAACCTCGACAGATTGCTTCTCCTCTCTGAGACTCAGTGTCCCTGCTTTCCTCCATGGGGACTAATAATAATACCTCCCTTATGGGAGATAAGCACTCAGTGAAGGGTCACCTAGTCACTGTTATTTCTATTAGTAGCAGCAGCAGCTCTGGTCCCCACTGGCCCCTCTGGGGACCACCTACCCTTCTGAGCCACAGCCTGTCCTCATCCTGCACCAATCCTGCTGCCCTCCAGCTCAAATTGTCCTCAAACAAGCTCCTCCCCTTTCCCTTCTGATTCCCATGCCCCTGCTCCCCTAACCAACTCAGTCTGCTGTGTCTGCCTGACAACCAGCCCCCAGGTGAGCCCTCCCCTTCTGTCCACCTCCTCCAACTGGCCAGGCCCTTCCTGCCAGACACACCTTCCACCCCTTTCCTGAACATGCTCCCTGTCCTGAACATGCTATTGCATCTCCCTGGAAGACTTTTCCTTTCTTGTCACGAGGTGAACTCCTAATCAAACTTTAAGGCCCAGATCAAATAACCCCCAATGCATCCCCAGCTAAATAACTTCCTTGGGTCCTGTAGAAGCAGGTACATTCCCCTAATGGGAATCTCATTGGGTGGGATTATGTGGGCGTGTGTCTCTGCCCCCTAGACCCTGAGCCCCATGAGGAAGAGGATGTGCGCTGGCACAGTGTGCACTCTTTGTGTTTTGTTGTGAACAGGCCCCCAGGACAAGGAGGAGGGAACGTCCCAGGAGCTCCAACCTCACCAGATGCCAGGACAGCTCTAAGGAAGGGGGAAGTGGGCAGGGGTGTGACTCCCTGGGTGGGGAGAGTCAATATGACAGGAGAAACTGGAGGGAGAAGAAACCTGACAAGGGGAAACTACTAAGGAGTCCAGCCAAGGAGGGGCCACCTGCCCTGCAGGCTGGTCCTCAGAGCTAGACTGGACTCCCTCCCCTTTTTCATGTTAAGTGTATGCACAGGGGCTGAGGAGTGGGAGGTGTGTGTGTGTGAACACATGTGTGTGCATACGCTGATGCCTACACATCCAGTCTGGCCGCAAGGTGGCCTCTGCTAGTTGAGAGCCAGGAGCGAGTGAGCAGCGGGGGTGGGGCATGCTGCGGTTACGGATGGAGTTTCGCTTGAAGGTAAGGCTGGAGATGCACATCAGGGTAGAATATCCTGAGCTTGGGGTGGAGGTGAGCATCAGGTACAGCTCAGGAGAGCAGCTGGTGCAGGTGTGGGCATTGGAACTGGGGCTGGGTGGGGTGAGCTGAGTTAGGGTGAAAGCTGGTTTAAGGGCTGCCTGAGGATACGGGTTGGGATTGGGGGTAAGTTAGGGCAAGATGAAGTCGCAGCTAGCTATAGGAGCTCAAGTCAGACCTGGCATTTGCGGCTGGGGTCAGGGTCAGGGTGGAACGGAATGGAGGGTAGGGATGGGTGGCAGGGTCAGGCTTGGAATCAGAGGGGCAGCTGTGACTGAGTTGGAGTGGGGCTGCACTGATGTGGAGGTGGGTAGAGTTGGTTCTATGATCAGGGTTCAATCTGGGAGTTATATACAGGGCTCAGACTAGACTGGGGTGTCCTTTATCATTCAGGATGGGCTTGGGTGGGCCTTTCTGCTGAAGGAGCCCTTTTTCTGGCTAACGTTCCCTCCTAAGGTTTAGCAGGATTGTGAGAAACGGAAGGGTCTTTGGTCCCTAAAGTCACTTTCTTCCCTAGGCCCCTAGCCAGGACTTAACCTGATACAGGCAGGGGTGGAGTGGGAGAGGGACTGTAGGAGTGACGTTGCTGCACACTGTGGGAAAGAGGAACTGGATCCCAGGACTCAGCCCTTAGGGCCTGCCCTACCCAACCCCTCCTCTGACGTCTCTCTGGGAAATGGGAACCAACTCCCCTTCCTTCCCCCCAAATTCCCCAGCCCAGCCTGAGACCAGGTGTGAATGCAGGCCTCTCCCTCCTGTCCTGCTTTGAAGCTGCTGGGTGCTGGATCTTGGGGTCCTCCAAGAACCCCAGGCTTCCTGGCCCCCAGGCCCACACCTGAGTCTTGAGGTATTGGCCTCAGTGCCCCACAGCCCTCAGCCCTCATACCCACATTCCTTCAGGTAGCAGGTGGGCCTGGGGTTCTTTAGGCTTCCCACATCCAGGGCCTCCTCTCTGGCAAACTCTTGCTCCTGCATAGCCTTCTGGGCCATGATACCTGGGAACCCATTAGTAGCTGCCCAAAACCTTCAGAAGAAAGCCCAGACCCCCTGGCCAGGCATTCAAGGAGCTTCATGATTCCTGCTCAGCCTTCAACCAGGATCCCAGAAGCCCACTGGAGTGGACCAGAAAGCAGGGGCCCAGACCTGGGCACTCTGGCTTTAGAACCAGGCAGCCCGAGTCCCGGCTCCATCTTTGAACAGCTGGGTGACCTTTCTAAGCTTCGATTTTTGCATCTGAAAGGTAGAGTCAAATGTGAATTTTGGATTGTCTAGAAAACTTTCCTCACTGACCCCCAGCCACTCTAGGCTCAAGTTAAGGCCATCTCTACCTGCTCTGGGCTCCACCAGCCTCCCACACTTCATTAGAAAACTTACCAAACTGTCTTTCCTATGCTCCTCTGAGCTCCTGAAAGCAGAGCCTGTGTTTTGCCCCATCATGGCCCCAGTACTCGCCTAAGGCCTGGCACTGAGTGGGTGCCACCGGGTCCTAGGGGACCTGGAAGGTTGTGGCATTCATAGCAATCATAACAGTAACAATAGCAGTGAATGTTTATCGAGCACTCACTCTGGACTACGTGCTTTACAGGTGTGGCTCTGAGCCCCCCACCCCCGGCCCACCCTCCCCAGCCAACACCAGCGCTGCAGAGGCTCCCTGCTGTCTGGGCTGCCCTCTGGTCCCTTTGAGGATGCTGACACCACCTCTTTTGGCCCAGAGGTTGCTTTACTCTTGGGTTTGGGTGACCTTGACAGGGTTCCAGTATGCACATTAAAGTGGGCCCACTACGGTCCAGTCCTCCCAGGTCTGGTTCTGCTTCCCTACAGGCCTGGGGCCTCAGCTGATCCCAGGAGGACAGGCCTGGAGCAGAGCCCAGGTGAGAGTCTGGGGACTCCCAGACTGATCTGTGTGACCTTGAAGAGGGTGTGGCCCTTTTTTCACAGCCTCCCCATCCTGCCTGTAAACATGTCCTGCAGGGTATAACAATCTTTGGTTCCCTGAACCACCTGAAGAAGACATTACAATGTATGTGACCTCCTCACAGCTCTAGGAATATGTAAGAAATAACTGTGGAATCCATTTTATAGATGGGTAAATTGAAGTTCAGAGGCCTAGAGAGGCTAAGAAAGCATGACTTTCCCAAGGGTGCATACAGAGGCGCCGTGTACAGTTGTACTGGCAGTGTACTGCATAAGGGCACCGAGCCAACAGGGTAAGTGTGGCACACATATGGGGCTCCCTCATCCTAGAGGAAGGCACAACTTTTCAGATTCACTGCCAGGTGGACCTGGAGGTAGCTGTGGGTCACAAGGCTCCAAATTCTAGAATAGACACTAGTTCTCACAAATTCCAAAGGAAAGCTGAAACTTCTGTTTAGTTTATACCTTTTGCATGTCTTCCACTCAGACTCCCATCTTCAAGGAAGAGGAAGTAGAAAGGAGCAGCGACGTGAAGTCGCGTGAAGTCAGACCTTGTGAAGTAGGTCAGCGATGCCCATTTCAGAGGAGGAAATTGAGGCTGCAGCGCTACACAGGGAGGAGGCTGAGTTGGATTTGCAGCCCACTGGCTTGTGCCCACATCCAGGCCGGGGTGGGGGGCTCCCTCCCACCTCCCAGGCCCTGGGGTGGATAGGTTCCTTCCCTCTGTGATCCAGTGGGAGGGCTGGAGAGTGGATAGAGGATGCGTCTAGGTGTTTGCTCACCCATGTCAGCTCATATCCCTGTGGCCTGACCTGAAGGAGGTGGGGGCGGGGCTCCATTACCAGCAGCTGCCTGCTTCTCCCCCACTCCCAGCCTGTTCTGGGTACAGGCCTTGAGACCACCTGCCACACCTGAAAGCTGTTAGGAAAGAAAGAGACACAGCTGGAGTGCTCGCCACATGCTGCAGAGCCTGCAGGCTACAGGGAGAATAGGAAAGAGAACAAACTACAGCATTCCACAGGAGCACCCTGGGACCCACAAGAAAGTTCCCCTGGGGCCAGGTCTAAGGAGGCTTATCAGACAGGAGGCATTTGAACTGGCCCTTGACCAAATGGATGTAGATCCAGAGACTGGGGCTGGTGGGCGAAGGCATTGAAGGGCCCCCACCCGTAAGATGGCGAACTTCCAGCTTCTCTTCCCGGTCCTCTGTTCCCGCCGGCGCCACCTGAAGCCCAATCACCTCTCGCTCCCCTTCCAATCTCAGCACCCAGCCAATAGCCACCAGCCCCGTAGAAGTAACACCACAATCACTTCATGCCCCTTCCTATATAACCCAGCACCTTTCCCTAATAAAGCGGAATTCTCCGGTGAATTGCTGCTGTGCGTCACTCCTTCCTTTCAGGCATGGCAGCAGGAAGCACAGTGCAGAGGGCAGGGGAGGACAGGGCTGGAGCAGTGTGCTGAGAGGAGCTGTGGACAGGCAGCCAGAGAAGGGGGCTTTAAATACTAAGCTAAGGCATTTTGCCCTTAACTCAGTGACAGCAGGAGGCCATGGAGGTGTCAAAGCAGGTGGAATTCTAGGCTCTCCTGACTCCAGAGGTTGTGTATTTTTCTGGCCTTTGCGGCCTGCAGGGAACATGCTCAGCCGCAGGCCAGCGGATTGCAACAGACCAGCTTCTGGAAGGTTTGGACCATCAGGGTAGGGGTTGCCCAGGGAAAGGAGCAGACAGAGACTGATCCGGGATCCAGCTCAATGGGCTGCAGTAGAGAGGAGCCATGGAGGGGGCAAGGCCAGGGATGCGATGCGGACAGGGGACAAATTCACCTGCATCCCACTAACCCTGGCAGGGCCTGGAACCCAGCTGTATCCCAGCGTCTCCCAGGACATGGGCTCTTGGGGGAGGCAGGAGTGGCTAGTGAGGCTCTGAAGGGAGCAGGGAGCCAGAATCTGAGTGAGGAGCCGTCCCGTTCCCTCCAGGCAGCATGCTCTCCCCGCCCATACGCAGCACATGGGCACATACAAAGGCACGGATCACGGGCACACAGGCACACACATACAAGAACTCACTCCCATACAGTCTCACACACATCAGGCTGCAGCAGCACAGTCAGTTACCCTGACGTACAGTCACCCAGCTACAGGGCTTCCAGATACACACCCCAGACTCACTCACACAGAGGACTGTTCCCAGGAAGGCCTCTGCCTATGAACGTCACTCAGGCATGGGAAGGGTGGGAAGTGTCCTCAGATGTTTTTATTGCCATTGTCTGGGACAGGAAGTTGCCCCTCTGACCTTTGGGGGCCTCTATGGAGAGGGGGCGTCATTCACCCACCGTGACGTCAGCTCAGGCCCTCCCTGCGCTGGGGCCAGCTGGGGTGGCACAGGGTGTAAGTGCTGGCCCTGGGGGAGGTCAGGGACAGCTGCGGAGTGTTGTGCCAGAGGGAGTATGCCTTGGTGGGAAGAGCCGCGGGAGTCAGGCAGATCTGGGGTCCTGTCCTCTTGCTAACCTCTCTCCGTGGCTGTGACCTGGGGCACATACTTCACCTCTAGTAGTAAAAGGGAAATGACACGAGCCACTAAGGCAGTTGAGAGTGCTCAGATAATGACTGTCAGGTTCTGGACAGAGGACCTAGAAAATGGTGGCAATAATCATGTTTGTGAGAGCCACAGGAGTCAGGGTGTGGGGACACCAAGGCCTGCTTGGGCTGAGGCAGGACCTGGAGGGCAAGGGCGCCCAGGGGCAAGCTGTACGGCACAGCCCTCTCCACACCTGCCTAAGCAATGCCAGTCCTCAGCACCTGGTCGCAGAAGAGCAGAGCCTCAGGAGACTCAGAATGTGGGGTTGATGGCAGGGTGGTCTTCCCCGTGCAAATCTTGGAGTAAGCGGCAGTGGGCAGCAGGAGGGCTGAGGTGGGCAGCAGGCTCAGAGACAGCTCTGGAGCGGCCCCACCAGTGTGTTTCCTGGAGAGTAGAGGTGCTCCTTGCCTCTCCAGCAGGATCTGATTCAGGAGATTCTGAGGGATGACCCCTGGAGTCCCTGTCTTTAGGAGTACCCAGCTTGAGGGGGGCTGCGAAGGGAGCACAGCCCGGTGGTAGAGACCTACGGAGAGGCAGGCAGCTGGCCGCCCTGCGCCCTCTGGTGGCCTCCGGTGTGCACTGCAGCCTCACTGCTTTGTTGTAAGGCCGGCGTCCTCCGTGGCGCCATAGCTCAGGAAATCACGCTGAGAACTGACATCGCCCAGCGTGGTGAAAGGTGCAGACACCGGGGAGACAGCCTCAGTTTGAAGTCCCAGCTCTACTGCTGCTATTATTATCTCCCCTATCACTTAGAGCTGGATAACCCTGGACAAGTGACTTCATCTCTTTGTGGCTCAGATTAATTTGCAAATCGAGGTTAATAGTAACAATTATCTACCGGTTTTTATTAAGAGTAAATATGAAAATCTACATCAAGTGCCTGGAATAAGTAATATTAAGTAATAAGTAAGAAACGGTGGCCCTCCTATGCTGTATTTCTGGAGTCAGTTATTAGGGGCACGGCCTGAGGGGGAGACAGCTCTGATGTGGGGCTGAATTCTGGCCCTGGTGCAGCCACTTACCAAGTTTGTGCTGTACACATGTTGACCAGTCATGTACCATATGGAGGAGAAGATGTAGGGAGGTAAGCTCAAAATCATTATTGAAGATCCTTTAGAAAGACGCCATGTTGGGGATAGACACATCATGTCTCACTAAGCCCAACACGGCCAGGCTTCCTAAGTCATGATCAGTGTGCCTTTGATGCAGCTGGCTTGCCTTCAGGGCAATGTCGTACAGACTGTGTATCTTTACTCACTGGGATCAGTGGTGAGATGCTCTTGCTGAGAGGTACACGGAAGCAGATAAGAGTTCCGGCATCCAGTTCAAACCTTCCATCTCACACTCACTGGGGGGCCCAAGTTAATCAGTTGGATACTCAAGATCTCTTTCCTTTTGGCCAGGTGTGTATAATTGAATTTGCGTTCTTCAGGTGAATGCATTCAGGACACAGCTGCAACTGTCTTACTCTGTGAAGCAGTTTCCTCTTCTGTAAAACAGGGCAATACCAGTACTACAGCTTCAGGTTCTTACATGGGTCAAATAAAGACAGTGTATAGGAACTTTTAATTCTTGCCAGGGAAATTCGATTCTTCACTCCTCCCCTTCCCCAAACTCTTCCCTAATTAGATGTATGATTCTGAGCAAGTCATTTCCTTCTCTGGGTCTCAATGCCCTCAATAGCAAAATACGGGGGTTGTATTAGATGATTTCAAAGGCCCCTTCTAGCTTGAAGCTTTCAAGACAGTTCTGTGCATTTACATGCAGTTAACCTGTATGAATGGTAACTGATGCTTCTGAGTTTCCCAGGACTGCTTTATCCAACTGGTAAGGGCATATCTATAAATTGCCCTTTGCACGCTGTAATATGTTAAAACTTTCAAAATTAAACATGCATTTGATTCGACTTTTCTCATTTGATCACACAAAGGTGCACTTCAGCTGCACCTGAATCTGCACAAAGTAACCAGATTTAACCATTGGACTCTTTGAGAGGCACTGCTGCTGCTATCCAGAATTTACCTGTGGAGGGAGGAAAGTGGAGCTCCTCCCAGACAGACACAGACACAGGCACACACACACACACACACACACACTGGGTGGGTGGGAAGACACTATCCTTGGCTTTGGGAAAATTCCTTTTGGAAGGCAGTGGGGTAAAATGAAACGAACTTTGGAGTCAGGCCCAGACTGAATTATCCCAGATCCTGTACTAGCTGTGAGAACTTAGTAATAAATTCATGTTTCTGAGCCTATTTCCCCATCTATAAAATTGCAATGAACAGGTTTTCCTGGCATTGTGGTATGGGTTACGTCAGCAGTAGCAGGAGGTCCTGGGCAGGGCTGTGGAGTTGGCAGGAAGCTCTCTTCTTGAGACACAAACAACGTCCAGTCCACTCCCACCAGTGATGCCGTCTGCCTGTTCCTTAGCCCCTCTGCGCCTGCTTCCATGTCAATCAAGTCGGGACACCACCACTTACCTCATGGAATACTTACAGTGCTTGTCTCTTTAGCAGCGACCCATCTAATACCACTTCAATCCCCACCCACCCTTCATGCTAACCTAGCTTCTCTGTCTGGCTCAGAGCAGTGGTAAATGCGAACACCTTCTCCCATCTGTCTAGGATCCTTTTGAGGACTAGACTCAAACAGCCTATGCCCATCCTCTTTCCTAGACCTCTGCCCCTTTAGCATGACCGAACTCACCACCAGAACCTTGCCTTCAGAGTAGCCTTCCCGGACTGCCATTTGCTACCTAGTCCAGGTAAACCTGCACCACTGAAGGGAGGCACTATGGCCTTTTCCTATCTAGATTTCTCAGGCTAGATTTAGATTTAGATTTAGAAATGTAGATTTCTAGATTTCTGAAGACTCAGTAAATGTTAAGCTCCACTTTCACCTTTTGGAACTTCAGCTCTCTGGGGAGGCAGTGTTGGGGTCAAGACTGAGGTCAAGGATAGGGGAATTCTCTTGGAAATTAACAGAGGATGGCATAAGAGAACATGACATTTGAGTCAAATGATCTGGATGCAAACCTCAGCTCTACCAGTTGCCAGCAAGGATCTGGGTAAGCCATTACACCTCCTCAGAGGTGCTCCCATACTGTAAGATGAGTGTAACGCTAGCCACTTAGCACAGGGCCTGGCACAAACTGAATACTTTTTAAGTTCCAGGTGCTGCTCTGAATGCTTAAATACATTAATTTAATCACACTACAACTCTAGAAGGCATTATTATCCTCATTTTATAGATACTGAGTGAGGAAAATAAGGCTCAGAGAAATAAAGTCACTTCCTCAAGTTCAGAGCTAGTGAGATGTTCAATATGGCAGCCGTGACTGTTCTGAGACAGCAATGTATGGAACACAATCTCCAAGACTCTAAAGACTGACTGCAGGTTTCTGCATCAGGACGACCTCCAATCTTGTTCCCTCAACTGCTGCAAATGACACAGACCAATCAGTGTTGTAAATAGAGTTAATATATTTATTTTAAGTGCCATTCATGCATATCAGTTCTGGCAGCAACAATCCTAATGACACTTGAAATATTTCTTTACAGCACTAAACAGTTACAAAGAATGGGTGCCGTTCATCATAGAGGCAAAATATGAAATCGTGCAATAGCAAAACTGTAGAAACATTAAAACACTGACTGTCCAACAGCAGTACAGAGAGCAGATTGTGTTTGCACAAAAAGCCAATGCATTTTCATCACATATATACAATATAGATATGTACACATCACCCTTGAATGAACAGTATCAAAATACTCTATTCCATTTGAAATAATCCCCAGACTGATTCCCTCCCTCTTCAAAGGACATCTGAGAGACATGTATTTACAAGAACACACATGAATACATTTACACTTCAAAAACAGCCACAAATGCCAGTCGGATTATTCTCCTGGACAGAGTACCCCCAATTTGATTATATGCATTTATTATTCTTTTCCCCAAAAGTCTTCAGTTAATTTAAGAACAAAACAGAACTTGCTCTGTGTTAACAACTACCAATAGAAATGGCCACTGCAGTGGTCCTTTGTACCCCCACCCTGGGTAACCCCATCTGGTTGCAGACCACTGAGAAGACTTTCCTGGACTCCTAGGCCACCTGAATCTCAAGAATGGGTTGGGTCTGGGTGGGGGCTCTGCCTCCAGGGCCATTCTTAGTTAAGTTTAAATTCTCACAAAAATATTGATTACTGCAAATCAGTAAAGATTGCCAAATGGGAAATTAGCTTTACACAATTTGTAAAATCGTCATCAGTGGTTTCTAGTTGAATCACTTAATAGAAGAGACTGCATTCCAATACCCAAATTATTTAAAGTGCATATCACTACCCAACCAATTTAAAGTTTCAAAACAGCTATTTTGGTATATCAAGTGACTTGAGCAAACTACCAAAAATCACTGCGACGTGTTTTTCAAGTTTTTACCCTGCAGGCTGCTGCTCTCATCTTGCCTCTGATCCATCTGAGAGGGGCTTTTTGACTGCCTTTCCAGAACCCTCTGATTTTCACTGATCCAAGAAGCTGGAACTGAGCTTCCTTTTTCATGCTAAGCAAGGTCCAAACAACAGGAAGATAAAGCCCTTCCTTTTTCCCAGCCTCACCAGCCTTTACCATGGCTGGCTTCCCAGTGATTCATTCAAAGCAACACTCCATTAAAGAAAATACCCACACACATTCACAAACACTCTCACTACACACATACAGAAACAAAGACATTTGTTTAGTTCAGGTAGAGATTACTCAACCACAGAATCAATGAGGCTAATTAAAGTGATTTAAGTATGGCTGATAGTGACTAGAGTGAACAGTTACTACTCCATGACTTGATGGAACTTATTTCCCCATTAGAACTGAAAGAAATCCTGTTTTGTTTTGTTTTTTGTCTGAGGATCCAATTAAAAATCTATTCATTTACCAAAAAATATCTCATTTCTTTTAGTCTTATTATAAAACTAAGAAAATCCATGTAAATTAACTGTGATACGATATAAAAAAAAATAAAAAACAAACGTTTAATAACACAAACCCCTAAGAGGCAGGCTGCATTTCAAAGAAAGTGACCAAATGTCATGCACATGGAGACACACGGGACAAGAGAAACTACAGGCCACTTAACAATAACTGTGCTGAGGACTGATACAAATAAAACCTACGTGGGCTCTATCGTTCCTTCTGTGCTTCCTAGTTGGAAAGAGAATGAGTGCAGGAGTTTGCTTCATAAACATTGCCCTGTTCTGTTGCCCAAATGAACTCCAATTCAAATTCCAGAAGAATCCCACTTAGCCAATAAGTCTCAATCACTAGGCATGTTAAGATGGACAAATATACTCACATGGTAAAATGAGTGATGATAAAGAGAATGACACAATCTCTCTGATTGTCTTGTCTGTAAACTCTGACCAAGGAAAATAATTCTTTGCTTTCAGACACATTTCTCCTTAATGAACCCAACAGGAGCATTCACAGAAGGTGGCAATAAATATTACAATAACACTTTTGAACAATAAATACATAAGTGAATGTGGAGGCATTGATTTGTTTAAAGAGCCAAGCAATGCCCAGCTTCTAATCAATCAAATAAATTTTAGAACTATTAAAATGCACATTTAGGAAAACAAATATTAAGAGGATATATAACATAAACTCTATAATCCACCAAGCATCTAAAAAATGTGGTCAGTCCTTCATTCTGCTCACCAACAACATGGCCCTTTGGACTGCTTGGAGACTAACAAAGTCCAGGTTCTCTGACTCACTGAGTAGAATTCATTACCCAATTTCTGAAAAAGATTAAATACGGGGCTTTGAGAAATCTATTTCCTTTCAGTTACCTCTATCAGTTAAAAGCATCCTGCAGAAAACTGCCTAACAAGGAATAAAAACTCACAGTAACTTTCTTTTCAAGACTTAGTAATCCAATTAGAAAAAAAAATTGAATCATTACTTTTATACATATATTTACACATATGTATCTATAAACTGCTTGCAGCAAAATAGGCTCTGTCTGAAAAATCAGTCTGGCACTTGTGGTCAACATCAAACTGACACAAATATGCAAAAGCTGTTCAAATCACACAACAGTTAGGAGCTACACAAGGCAGCTGGCAGGGAGACAAACATGTAGTACTTGTGTGGGTCAGATAAAAGCAGTAAGTTATCCAGCTAAAATCTTTTTGATTGTCTTCAAAAGAAATTTCCATAACATTGGTAAAGTGATTAGCAACTTTGTTTTCTCAACTGGATTCTCTTAAATCTTTCCCTTCACTGCGCAGAAAAATGATGCTGGGTTCTAGGACATTGCAGAAACAAGCTCTACACAATTGAATCCCAATCAAAGTCATCCTGGATGTCATCTGGTGGCAGAGAGCGCCGCATCTGGAAGGCTTGGGAAGGCATCATGTGCTGCTGGTTCATGGCACTGTGATGGCCTGGAAGGAAGAAGGCAGTGTCACTTGGGTACAGAAAAATGGGAAGAAACAAGTGAAGGCCTGGTGAATGCTTCCTGCGTACAAGGAATGCTGTGCACTCCCTTACTAATCCAGTCAGAAGCCTTCAACAAGGTGGCTCTTATGAGCCTCGCTTTGTAGGTAAGGGGTCTGGGTTTAAGAGGATAAGCAAGGAACCCAAAGTCATACCACTAGTAAGAGGAAGAAAAAGAATCTGAACTCTGTTCATTTCACTCCAAAACCCACACTTTTTCGATTACACCAGGCTGAAGCAAGGAGGGCATAAAAAGACTACCCAAGTGCTGACTCAACCACTTTTCTTACAGTCTGTTCTGCTTCAATACTTGTTACAGTAACATGAATTCATAACATTCAGTAACATGAGAATGGTAAACATTATGAGATCAGTGTATAAACAAACTCACAATGAGTCATAGTGAATTCCCTAGCAGGTTGATTTTTGTGCCACCAAGAGCAGGTGAATGCAGAGAACAGCAACACAGCGGGGTACTGCACACTATGGAGAAACACTGGACACAACGACAGCCGCTCTCTCCATGGTCCTCTTTTTGGACAGTGTAGCCACCTGCCGTTTGTGCTCCCCAATTTTGGTACATTTTGCCCCTGTCTCCATAGCTTTGACAAACTCCCTTCCAAACAAGATTTTTTTTAAAGTAATGATCTGCATTATTCATAGAATTCGTTCCTTTATGAAGAACTAAACATATCCTTTTAATAGTTGTGGAATTTTTAATGGATTATTGTAGTTTTTGTTAATACTCTGATTATGAAGTTTCAAGTAGTGTGCTGCTAATCTTATTTTTCTTATAAGCCTTGTAATTTTTAATAATTTTATAAAATGCTAAATTTTTCAATATATCACAATATATTGCAGAAATGTCTGTTTATTTTTTAAAGACTTATAAATTCTTTACTATGTGCCAAGCACTAATTAAGTGATTTACATATAGTATTATTTTCTCTTAAAAACTCTAGGAGTTTGGTCATGTTTACAGACAGAGAATATCAGATAGGAAGCTTGGGCAGCTATAAAGGGCCACAGCACCAGAACCCAAACCCTGGGACTCTGGCTCAAGAGTCTTCACTACCATGTCTCACCACCTACAAGTTCCTAGTGAGCACTGAAGACAGATAACATATATGCCTACATGGTCATCAAAGGACACATCTCCTTGGTCCCAACTCCTCCTCAGTACTGCCTGGCACACAGTTCTTTTGGGGCTTAAATCACACTCCTGCTATTATATTTTGTCTTCTCCTAAAATAACCTAAGTAAAGGGTTGTGTAGTATATAAGAAAAACCAACTTTTAATGCAGACATTAAAGCTTGAGTCTTTGTTTGGCCACTTATCAAATTGGTGGCTATGGGCAACTTATCTCCCCTTCTGAATTTCCATTCCTCATCTAGATAATCTTTAAGATTGCTTTCACCTCTAACAATGTGCCTGTACTAAATGTAACTTATCCTACCTTCAGGAACCTAGGGGAAAAAGTCTGTGAACTAGTAACTCCTGAAACTTACCTCCTCTGTAAGATATTTCTCTGGATACTACAGCTAGGAAACTTCATCAGAATAAATGGAGCTGATTATATAGGAGTTAATTAAAGTGGGTTCTTGAAGCCTGCTGAAGTCCTGTGAAAGCCAAATAGCCTTAAAGGCACCTAAGACACCAGACCTCTTCAACAGGCAGGACAACAATTAGAATCATAGCACTGTGGGCTAAAAGAGACTTGAGGTCATATGGTCCAAACACCAAATGACCCTTGAACCCCTTCACCAGCACTGGAGTCAAGTAGCTATCCAGACTTTGTACCCTATCCCCGACAGGGAGTTCCCTTCTCCTGAGGCAGCCCTGTTCACTGCTGGGACACCTGAAACCTTTCAGTATTAAAGTCTGAGTACTAACTGCAACACATCACACCCAAATTACCTGCAAGCGTTGTTCCTGGAGTGCTGAGTGCCTGTGGGATATGAGGATAACCAGGGGGTGGCATCACTGAAGGAGGGAGATTTTGCCTGGAGTCTATGTACAAATTTCCTAATCAGATTGAAAAGCAGAAAGAAGGAAAACACATTATGTAAACAAAACAAATAAAGCATTAAAATCTTAATAGAATTACTACCTACAACTAAATTAAACAGGTGATGTGAGGAAGAAAAGGGAAGGAAAAATTACTCTTTTCTGATGCTTAAACCGTGCCTAAAGGGGGTGCTGTCTTTCCTAACACAGAACCAGCCTGGGTGTGAGTACACTTGTACTAATTCTGGTGAGCTTGTAGGCAAGTTATGCCTGTTGCTGTTATGTATGATGTTGCTGTTATGTATCTCATTGACAGTCCAAAAGCATTTTCATATCCATTACTTCATCTGAGCCTCCCACTAAGGCCACAGTGAGGATAAGACAAGGATTATCCCCGTTTTATGGATGAGGCACCGAGGCACGGTAAGGCTAAGCTGCCTTGCCTAAAGACACATCAGTTTGAGAGGAGTAGGGCTGGAACAGTTTTCCTAACTCATGAGCTCTTTCTATTAATGGTTGTCTGCACTGCCCTCATCATCTCACCCTCAAAGCAGACCTACCTGTGCCCTACCTGATTCAAAAACATGACTGGAGGCACAAAAGTACAGGAAAGATTTGTACAAAGTCAAAGAGCTATACAAAGCAAAGCTGATTAAAAAGATATTATTTAAAATACGGAGGTGGGAAACATAGATCCCTTTTAAATGGCATTTCAGAAGGTTTTCAAATTAATAGATTTACATTGACAGGAGCCATGAAGTATAACAGCTCTAAAATGCCAATCACACTGCATCCTAGTGCAAGAACAAGGAGGAAGGGAGCTAACATGGTGCACCTCCCATGACACTCCTGGAGAAGAGCTGTGACACACTGCATGAACACCTGGCATTCTGGAAAGGCTATTTCCCTGAAGTGTTCTAGTGTTCACATAAAATACCTGTATCCTATCAATGCTGTGTCAAACTAGAAAACAGCAACCATTTTCTCAGATGAAACTAAAGAGGGAAGAAAAATCTTCCTTTTGTATTCAAGGTGGGACACATGTTTGAGGCTCACAAGGCTTACATGCCACTGGAAAGGCAGACTGACTGTTCAAGCCTGACACAGCCTTAAAGACCATCTAATCTAGCCCTACCTCTGTCACAGGGATGAGGAAATAGACTAGGGATAAAACAAGACAGACCAGAGACAAAACCCAAGACTTCTGACTTCCAGCACTGCCTCCCCAGATGACATGCCTTTTTAAAATAGAGTAATGTTTACAATCAGAACTGAGCTCTCTGGCCAATTTAGAAAAGTGAGGACTTAGGGGATTCTAGAGTATTCTGAGGGGGAAAAAAATCCTGCCCCCAAATGCTGAAAAGCCTTCATTTGCTTGGATGGTGCATGTTCTAAAAACTGCATCAGGCTGGAGGGGTCACACCACTGGGTAACATGGTTCTCATTTACCACCAACTTCCCAGCCTCCATCTCAGAATGTCAGCTCTCTTTATTCATCCTTAAGAGCTCAACTCATAATAAAAAGAAAAAAACACTGATTTTTATTAGAGATTAATTTTTTAATATATTTTTTCATTTCTCTTTTTTGGCTTTCATAATTCTTACCTTAAAAGGGGAATTATGGGAATAAATAGACACCCACCTTAAATAAATAGCCTTAACTTTTTGGGCAACTGTCATATTAATAACACTTTTATTTTCATATGTAAATTCTCATTACTCCACACTTTTCCCATGTGCTCATTATAGTCTAAACAATGACAGTCTACCTGGCATTTCTAAACAAGAAATTAACATCCAATGTAGTTTCCAATAATTTCTAAGATCCTAGAATACTTAGTATGTAGTAACAAGAATTTAAAAATCTAATCACATGATATATTTATTGAAAGCAGACTCTTATCAAATGGCCATTCATTCATTCAAGAAGTATTTCTGTGCTGGCACTGCTCTAGGCACTAGGAATACAGAAATGAAAAAATAAAAATAAAACTCCCTCTCTCTTTTTGGAGCTTATTCTCAGGGGTGGGGAAGCCAACAAAGCTAATAGAAGTATATGTTATACAGACTGTGGAGAAAAATAAAGCAGGGAGAGGGTTCGACAAGAACTACGGGATATTAGATGACATTTAAATCGGATGGCTAGGGAAGGTATCACTTGAGCAGGTGCTTTTGAGGAAAAAGCTGAACAAGATGAGGACATGAGTCATGTATCCATCTGGGGGAAGACCACTCCAGAAAAAGCAACAAGCAAGTTGCTCTGAGGTAGGTGGGGTGTGCCTGGTAAGCTCAAAGAAGAGTAGGGAGGCCAACAGGATGGGAGCTAGCATTTGAAGGGAGGGGAAAGGAGAAAACGTCAGATAATAATGGAGGGCTAGATTTTCTAAGGGCAATGCAGACCACAGTACAGACTTTGGTTTCTACTGAGAAAAAAGTGTAATGAGGAGTTCTAAGCAGAGAAGGTAAGTGATCAGACTGTAAAATCCCACTTATCCAGCAAATTCCAAGCTTAAATGTGTCTTCTATGAAACTTTTCTATCTCCCCAAGACAGCTAAACCCTTTCTCTTACTCCCATTGCCCTACAACTGAAGTGCAGCCCTCATCATACTGTATTTCTTCATAGATCTGTCTCAGCTACCAGGCAGTGAGCTCCTTGAGATTAGGGGCCATTATGGAGTTAATTCTTTATTCCTAGTGCCCAATACATAAGGAGGCACAGAAAAGGTATAAATAAATGTTTGCTGAATGAATACACACCTACCTAACCTTATTTAATGACCTTTAAGCAGAACATCAAATTAAGGATAGCATAGCTAGAGGACTTACATGTTATTGGGCAAGACAAACTGTAAAATAAGTATAATCACTTCTGAAAATGAGATGACATACTGTGTATGATGTGCCCCCTTCCCCTTCCACACTAACACTTCACAACACTAATTTCTGGTACTTTTAAAGAGCCCAAAGAAATAGTTGCCAAAAGAAGAGTCTTAAAGACAGAGGTAACAGGGGAAGTTTGAGAGAGATAGAAAGGCTACATTCTGGGAGACAAGACCTATATCCAAATGAACTTTGTAATTTTAGGCAATCACCTTCTCTCTCTGGGTCACAGTTTCCTTATCTGTTGTAAAAGGATAAAAGTAATAGCTCTCTGAAGTCCCCTCTCATACTATATTTCTAAGATGTGCGGCAAAGAATTGGTGTGGAAGCAGAGATGAGGGAAGTGAGACATGTGAATGAATTTGATTTAGAGGGATGCAAGAGGGAAAATAAAAGAGTGACAGAACAGGCTAGGACTTAAAAGGAAGCAGGCCAGGCATGTAAAAAACCAACTATTTGTGAATAGACATCAGCAGGCATGACGTGATGGCTACTTGGAGCACCAGAGCTGTTCGGTGAAAGTGCTAACAGAGGCTAATATGGCTTGGCAGGCGAGTGCTAACTGAAGCTCTTTTGGCTCAGAATGGGAAGACAAAGTGAGAAGGGGAGCTGGGAGAGGAAGAAACACTGAGGACCTACTCCAAAGCCTTTGACAGGCTATGAATGGGGTAACACTGAGTGAGAATCAAAGGGAACTGTGGGGACCCTAGAGAGCAGGGGCTGGCAATAAAAAGGAAAGTTGGCTGAAAAAGATTTAAGACAGTCATAGAACACCAGAACCAAATAATCAAGGTCAAGGATCAAGAGGAGATGACCACAGAAGTCCAGTAACAAAGAACTTGAGGAAAATAACCCAGGATCTCAGTCTAAAGAGAGAATCCAGAAAAGGAGTTCAGCCACTCTGACACAGAACAGCAATGGATGGACAGTGCTTTTTCCATAACCAAGAGTACCAAGTTCCAAACCCAAATGTACTTGGACCTTTCTTAGCGATTTAGATCACAGAACTGAAGAAAGTCTTGCTTCTCACATAGCTTTGAAATTCCAGAAAGGGACTGGAGCTATTGGCTAATGTGTAAAATGGACTTTTGATTTTGAAATGGGCTTCTCTTAAGACTGACCCATACACCTCCTTCTATTTATTCTCCTAGAACTCCTTGATATGCCAGAGGCAACAATCTGTGAACAACACAGGTACCATTCCCAAATAGGCATGTGTACCGATGTACATATAAGATACTCTAATTCGCTTAGCAGTTTTAAGGCTGACTGAAATGGTTTGATATGACTTGGCAAAGAAAACATGGTAGCACTTAGAAGAGACAATTTTGGTAGAACAGAGAAAAATAGGAAAACCAAGGGACAAGGACACAAGATGACAGATCTCATCAAAGACTTAAGTTGGAAAAGTGAAAATGACATATCCTGAAAAGGACAAACTATGGGCTTAGAAACTATTATAGGATCAAAGAAAAAAAGCACAGGAATCTGTCTTTCAACCTTGACAAACCTGCACTGGTAAAATCTGTCAGAATTCTATAGTCTTTGGAACTTTGGAGTCTATTGAAGATTTGCAACTTGCAAAAGAAGGATGAGATGGTAAATTGCACTTAATCATGGTTAATTTCAGCTGTCAACACATGTTTCTGGGACAGCTTACACACACAGAATCCAGGGTAGGCAAAAGGAATACTGCTCTCCAAATACTGGGAATCTGTGGTCTGATCACTGTTGCTTCCAATCAGAGAAATGGAGACAGAATGGAGGGTGGCTGATGGTGTACTACACTCCCCAGTGCTGTAAACCCCTCCTCTCTGGATGAATTGATTTCTAGGGGACTTCTAAGAGCTGCTGCCATCTTGCATTTTTTCTTTTACCCTTTTGGGAGCCAGACATTTAAAGACAAGAACACTGAAAAACAACTGCATATACAAATAAAAGTAGAAAGGGAACATCCATGCCAAGAGAAAGGCACAGGCTCAGAGAAAACCTGAGAAGACCTTAAATTTAAACCTTAGACTGAACCTTGGCAAAATTGGCACAAGGACAGCCAGCAACAATCAAAACAAAACAAAACAAAAGACAGAAATAATGACAAAACCCTGGATAAGGGAGAGAATCTGATTTCCAATGACTA